GGTTGTCACTGAGCCTCCTGCCCCCTCCCCAGAATTCCGGGCACGGTTCCGGCTGCGGCTGCTCCGGGGGCACCGGGGGCTGCGCAGGCTCCTCAGCTCCCGCGGGATCAAGTTCGAGGTGACCCAGAAAGGGTAGGGGGGAAATGTGGGGAGAGGGAGGAGGGGAAATGGGAAACCTCCCGGGAAACCCTGCGGGGGACACGGGAAATGGAGAGGAAATGGGAAATGGAGGGGAAATGGAGGGGAAATGAAGGGGAAAGGAAAGGGGAAATGGAGGGGAAATGGAGGGGAAAGGAAAGGGGAAATGGAGGGGAAATGACACGGGAAATGGGAAATGACACGGGAAATGACACGGGAAATGCAGGGGAAATGGGAAATGACACGGGAAATGGAGGGGAAATGACACAGGAAATGGAGGGGAAATGGAGGGGAATGGAGGGGAAATGACACAGGAAATGGGAAATGACACAGGAAATGGGAAATGACACGGGAAATGGGAAATGACACAGGAAATGACATGGGAAATGACACGGGAAATGACATGGGAAATGACACGGGAAATGACACGGGAAATGGAGGGGAAATGACACGGGAAATGGGAAATGACACGGGAAATGAAACGGGAAATGCAGGGGAAATGGAGGGGAAATGGGAAATGGAGGGGAAATGGAGGGGAAATGGGAAATGGAGGGGAAATGAAGGGGAAAGGAAAGGGGAAATGACATGGGAAATGGAGGGGAAATGACACGGGAAATGGAGGGGAAATGACACAGGAAATGGAGGGGAAATGACACGGGAAATGGAGGGGAAATGACACGGGAAATGGAGGGGAAATGACACGGGAAATGGGAAATGACACGGGAAATTACATGGGAAATGACACGGGAAATGGGAAATGACACGGGAAATGACACGGGAAATGGAGGGGAAATGGAGGGGAAATGACACGGGAAACATGGAAGATGCAGAGAATAGGAAAAGTGGCATAGGAAATGTGGAAAGTACAGAAAACAGGCAGGGGAATTGCGAAAAATACAATGGGAGATGCAGAAAATACGGAAAATAACACAGAAAACACATAGAATAGCACAGGAAAGAGAAAATACAGAGAGGAGCACAGGAAACGCAGAACACGAGCTGGAAAATCCAGATGTATCCGGGCAAAGAGGGGGTGAAAGGCGACTCCGGAGTGCTGCAATTCCCCATTTCTTGGGGACGCCTGTGGGGCTGGGTCTCACAGCCCCACTGCCACCGGGGTTAGGGTTAGGGTCCTCTGGGACCCCCTCCCCTGCTTTGGGGGTCCTCTGGGACCCCTCCCCTGCTTTGGGGGGGCTCAGAGGACCCCCTCCCCTGCTTTGGGGGTCCTCTGGGACCCCCTACCCTGCTTTTGGGGGGGCTCAGAGGACCCCTCCCGTGCTTTGGGGGGGCTCTGGGAACCCTCCCCTGCTTTTGGGGGGGCTCAGAGGACCCCTCCCATGCTTTGGGGGGGCTCTGGGAACCCTCCCCTGCTTTGGGGGGGGCTCAGAGGACCCCCTCCCCTGCTTTGGGGGGGCTCTGGGAACCCCTCCCCTGCTTTGGGGGGGCTCAGAGGACCCCTCCCCTGCTTTGGGGGGGCTCTGGGAACCCCTCCCCTGCTTTGGGGGGGCTCAGAGGACCCCTCCCCTGCTTTGGATCCAGCCGATCCCGATGATCCCTGATCCGCAGGGGGCT